GTTCCACGAGCTTAAACTTGCGGGATCTTTTGTGATTCAGAGCAGCTCCAATCTCCTCAAGTAAGCACCGAAAACTTCAGAAAAAGATCTTGAATAATGACTAATCATTTGGTTTCGCTTTTAATTCTACTAGAAAATGGTAGATTACAGTTTTATCATTGTTTTTTATCTCGATCCAGGAGTTGGAATCTTCATCAAGACTAGTTTTACTTTATTCATTTTGGCACTGCATGATAGACGGGACAACATTGTATCCCTCCAAGATGGACTTCAAAGCTCGAAACGTCGGCCATAAAACATTGTTGATCCATCGTTAAACTTAAAACAGTAATTTAGACAAATTTAGTATTTTTAAGTTTCACGGGGAGCTGATAGCAGACAAGGTAGCTCGCATCTTGGTTTTAATTAGGGGAAACTTAATTGTGTGTACGTTCCGAAATTACAAGTGTGGGCGCTCCTTAAAGGGGGCGCACATTTGAAAAATCTGAAAGCAACCAGTTCTAAATTTACCATGACAGCACTGGTGAGTCGTTTTTGGCTCAGATTCTAAGCAATGGGATTGAGTATATCTACAAAACATAGTAATTGTCACTATGTCAATACCAGCATCACAATTATGCGGGGAGCTGGGATTGATTTGATATGTCTAGCTACCTGTAAATAAACTTAAAAGTGACACGGAAATTTGCCACAACATATTCAATTGTCAATTTCCACTCAATTGTACGATCAACGAAGCACACCGCTATCGTCAAACCAATTCATTCGAAAAAAAAGTCTTGAAAAGAACGTTAAACACGCAAAATACAGTTGCTAAATCCTTACTTGAAGTTCATCCTGTTCAGTGTTGGGAAATCAAATCTCACCAAATCCCAAGATCACGATGATGATGTTCGTAGACAAAATTCAACAAGCAAGCAACTGCGGATGATATTATAAGCTGTGATATCGTAGCTACGCATATCAAGCAAACAAATCTCACCAGCTTAAATTCTCACCAAAAAGTGGTGAGTTTGAGTTTCATAATTTTTGCTTTATACCGGAACGCGACCCGATACTACCGTCGCCGCTGGCAGCAGTAGCTTCGTGTTTGCCATCGGTGAACAGCAAAGAGAGATAGCAAATCATCCTTTCTCCTTCTATGAAAACAATGTGCAACGGAATAATGTTTGCGTCGAGTCAACTCTTAGCTTCATTTTTACATGTTGTGAATAGTCTCGCAATATCAGAGGAGCTTGTAAAATCAATATCAAGCATGATATTTTGTTGCAATATGCAAACGGAAAAACATCATTTGATTGATGATTTTGCTAACACTGATCCTGTTCAAATTGCATCACATTTTAAGTTGCGTTAACGATTTTGTTTGAACGAAGTGATTAGTGTTGAAACTTGTGCCCATATTTCATATGTGAAATTCAGAAACTGTTGAAATTATTGAAACTAGATTTATTTCCTGATAGGTTATTGAAATTCTCGTCTTTTCTCGGTTTTCCAGGTTCTCCTGGTTGAATTGCCACCCTGCAAACATGGTGGCGTTTACGTCACTTTGCCGTCTTGGCAGTATTTAGTTCAATAGCGAACTTATTTTCATGATCCTGTTCTTAGAAAAATTCATAGGTTCTGAGATTTTGAAGCTGAGATTTAACACAAAAAAGAATCATCAAACAAGTAACAATGTTTACCAATTTTGCATGAATCGGTTCAATTCCTTTAACTTAAGATTTAAGACATTAATAAAGTCTAACGCAAAAGATAGTTTGGATCTGTTAAGTTTATTCAATTGAGCCTGTACAAATAAATAAATTAAAAAAACGAAACAAAACACTAAAACACTGCTTAGAGATGAAATAAATGTTAACTTTTGCGTAGCCAAGCTTTTGGCTTAAAAATTAGATTTTGCTGCCATTTTGACATTTCTTTACCGATTTTGATGAAACAGCTTCCAAGCCGATCGAGAACTTCTAGTTTCAGATTCTTGAAAGGGGGTGGATGATTTTTGTTTTATTTAAAAATCATTAGAAAAAATCTTGGAGTCAAAATGATTCTTTTTAACGTGACCCCTTGAAAAGTTCATAAATGACCGTTATAATGACTGATATGCCGTATCATTTCAGTTTTGTAGAGCACAAATCTCGAACACTATTGCAACACCGTTCATGACATTGGTACTCCCTGTTTGCAGCACTAGAGCAAACGGGGAGTTCCAGTTCCAGTTGTGGAATGTTTTGTAAGAGCTAATATTTGTGTGCTTGATATTTCAAGATTAATCAGAAATTAGGTTTTCACAGCAAATTACCTTGAATGGTTTTGTCACACGCAATTTTTGTTTAGTTTTTTTTTATAGCTTAGCAAAAATTTGCCCAACCGTTATCGACAACTAGATTCAATTCCTGATCGATTGGAATTTGTTTCATCGAAATCGGTCATGAAATGAGGAAATGGGAGAACAATCTTATTTTATAGGCGAAAAAACATGGATATGCGCAGGTTAAAAAGACGAAATTAATTAGTTTTAAAATCTAAAAAGATGCTGGGAAACCTTCTTCATTTCTTCAGTATGACAACGGTTAACTAAAATTTAATTATTTCAATAGGAGAAATTGCTGATTTCGAGGGTTTGCGGTCTGAATTCTTATTTTTCTGACATGCATACTTTCAATTTCTATGATTATCTTTCATTTTCATTTCATTTTCATTTTGCAGCGTTTGGTGGGGCAATGGGAGCGCAAGTCAATCCAAAGCCGAGGATAAAGGACGGGTAATGGCTGAATAGTCTATGCGGACCACTTGAACGCCATGGGAAAAGGAAGGGATTGAAGAGGCCGGTTATTGGGGGGTTTTGAGGAAATGACACATAGTGATGCTAAATGTAAAGAAACCGAAAATCCATCTCCCACTGATTCATCCTTTCACATATATACCAAATTGATATTTTAAAGCAATAATCAAAATAAACAAACAATACATGAAAAGGCTAGTTGCCAGTTGCTTTAAAGGCTAGTTGCCTCCCTAAGCGGACCCTCCGCATCCTAACTCTTCTGTTAATCCACTTAATACTACTAGGCTGTCTAAATTTTCATATTTATGTTCGTTTGATGATTATGATATCTCTAGTCTAATTTAATAAATAATTGAAATCTCTAATCTACCTACCAGGCTTTATTAAGTACCTGCACTTGTTAATGTAATCTAAAATTTAACGTGTTTCAAGTTGTTTTTGACTTTGACCTATATTTAATATATATTAGTTCGTTCCAGGTGACACCTTCAAGTGACTAAAATGCTTCACTTTGAAGTTAGTTTCCTAGCTGATTTTTAAATTACATAGGGTATATGCTGCAACTACGCTCACACGCTTCCACTATGTCGCACCACAAAAATACGTATGGTTATGTCACAATAGAAGCACGTCACAGTGGAAATCCCGAGCCATAGTTCAAACACTTATCCCAAATCAAAATGAAGCACATAGAAGATTAGTTGCAATACCATGTACAAAAATGATGTTTAACATTGTTTCCTGAGTAATACCTCAATGAAAACAACAACGAAAGCTTGTCACGCAAGTAGAAGGAGCACTGTTGGGCACTTTCGGAAATATTTCAATAGTATAATTCCCGTGCAAACCCAAATAAATCTATCTGCGTAAAAATAAATAAAATAAGAGTGATTTGCGGCAAAACCCGCCAGTATCGCACCCAACGTCAGTGCCTATACGTAAGCGTACTACAACGCGGCTTTCAAATAAAGGAGTAACAAGTGTGATACTATCACTTCAGGCTAGAACTTTGGTTCTCTTATGCAATGATTCATCGGAGAGGAGAAGCTCAGTAATCCTCATCGCATGCTCATGACGCTATTCTGTCACGGCATGAGCCAATGATGCCGGACCTAAACCAACCGTCTCCAACGCTCCACTATGAAGCATAAGATTAGGCCCGCCTACCAACGTCCAGGTTAAAAAACTAGCCAAGGGGAGGGTACTTTCAATTTCTATGATTATCTTTCAGTCATAAATCTGTTTAATTTATGATGTTATTTAAAACATCTTCTTGTTATTAAGCGCCAAACAAGCTTTTCTTACATCCAATGTAAGATAGGATTTATTACATTATGTGTTTCATACGACAACTGTAATGGTAGTTCTTGCGATGGATTGCAGCGTACAAACAAGTTTTTTTTTTCAGAATGCATATTTTTTGTATGAAACCATCACGAGATGATTTTCTAGACAAAATGTTAAATCTGTATACCTCTTATGCAAATCTGAAATAGAATCCTACATTTTCCGGTTGGGTGTATTTAATTTAATTTATTTAATTTTAATGAATATTAAATTTTACATTGAGAATAATCCAGCTGGAACACATATATATTAAAACTCTTACAAATTGTGATTTAATTAATCTTGATCAATTCATTTCAAGATGACTAGAAATTCAAATACTTTTCAGCAAATCCAATGATTTTTAAACATGCTCTCAGAGGATCCATTTCCCATATTGCTACTGATTGTCCAAATTCAGAGTGGGACATCAAGTCATCTAATGCCAAATCGGTGCCACTGTGTGACCTCACCGGGTCAACTGAAAATGTTTCTAATCCATGTCCTACCAAGATTGAATCCATCCAAACATACCAAACAGCCAGAAATGTCCAACTACATTGCGTGACTTGACCACATCAGCCTCAATATTCCGGAGAATTCGACAGCTGTGTTATCGCCAGAAATTCCCATTTATTTCCACACTGTAGCAAATTAGAAAGCTCAATTGCCCTCTATCAGAATGCGTTTCCAACCACCCTTCCCAAAAAACGTGTTCCGATTTCCCACGCCAACGCAGTTTCAACCCCCGCAGAAAAAAAAAAGAAAAAACCTTGATTCGAATCTCCAAAGAACCAGCCCTAGGGCCTTTCCGAGATTTCAACAACCAGATAAGTAGGTACGCCTCTCGCTTCTGTATACCAAGGAAAAATTCCGAGAATCGTGTACTAACCTCTAGATTGTGCAGTATCGTTTGGCAGTTTTCCACCGGTACGTTATCCCGTATCTCGACGACGATATTTTTGTAGCCCGATTTGTCCACGTACACCGACGACGAGTGCGCTCCGGTTGCCGTCTGGAGGATCGAAAGCGAGGCCCAAAGAAGCAACACAAGCCTTCGAGCCGTCGTCGTCTTTGTCGTCGTCGTCGTCGTCATTCTGACTTTGGGGTTCTTCTTTTCCTCACAGCACATGTACACGATTTCACTTGGGACACTTGGGTTACTTTGCGAAAAATTTGACACTCACTTTCGCTAGAAAGCTCTTTTCATGCCGAATCCGCACGGATGGAATCATTCAAATACTGACAGAAGAAGTAATCACTACCTACATCCACCTGATAGATGGAGGTCTTTTGGCTTAAATCGATAATACCCCTGCTGTCAAGTTTTGTTTGAAGAAAGTCACCATGGAAACCGTGGGCTTTCGTCGATTCAGGTTTTGTTTGGGTTGTTTTTGCTTCGTCGATTTAAACACAAAAAGAAGCAAAAAACAACTCTCAATTGAATTGTTTTCCTCCACGGTTTCCGCGTTCAGCTCGCACCTAAACTGCTGTTGTCGATTTCTACGGATCGGCCGTAACCGTGATTAATCGGCGTAATAATGCGCCAAAAATTGATGATTTTACACACATTCGCCGAAAGCACCGAATCTTGCTATCTGATTTTTTTTCGGTTGGTGCGATACACGCGCCACTTTATTGCTTTTCGGTTGTTGAACGCGGAGTTGTTACGACTTCATGCTCCACTAGGCCACTTCCGGTTCTGGGAGAACTACTCGCGTTGAATGCAGAATAATTGGGTAAATATTCATACGAGAACTCCACCCGCACACCCACGAACACACATACACTCAGTTGTTGACAATCGAGTTGCGTTTCTGTTTTGGTCTGTGTTTCTCCGTTTTCGGTTCGCTCGCAGGTGAAAATTCGTTTTTTGTTTGTTTTGTTTACGGTATATTGTGTTTCGTGACGACCGGATGATGGTTGTTCATCACCACTGCCACTTCTGCTGGTCGGTCTACCGTGTTGTCGCCAACTCGGAGACAATTGTTTCACTTGTTTCGTTATCACTCAATTTTCCTCACTTCAACTTCTCTTATCGCCGAAACAATACTCCCGATTCTTGTGCAGCTAGGTCACATTTCGTTTCTCGATCACCAAACCAACGAAACCATATCACACGGACCGACCGACCGACCGGGCAATTTTCAATTTAGCACTCTTCGATTTCAGATTCGATTCATCATTCGGTTGTGTTTCTTTTTTTCTGCTTCTGAATTGCGATTCTTTATTTTTCCTACACGGTCTGGTGAACAGCGCGCACACACGGAACAGTCAGAATGTTTTTACCGGTAGGTTACGTCGTCGTCGTAACAACACGACCAAGAGGACACACGCGTGCGATCTAAACGGCCGGCGAACGGACAAACAGAGGCCGGATACGTGCAGTTGCGGCAAACGTCGAAGGCGGACTAAACTCCGAAATGAACGAACCGCGGCAAGAACAGAGAGCGAGGGAGAGAGAGAGAGCGACAATCATGGGAAGAAGCTCCAGCAAAACGGAAAGCATGACTGCAGCTAGCAGTGAACTACCGCTTCATCATCAGAAGCATCGGCGATCACCACCCACCCTCACCAACCGCCTCCAGAAAACAACATTCAATGTGCGCGCACGATCGCCTCCTCAGGGAACGAACGAAGAGCGAAAGAGGAGGAAGACACAAATAAAATGGGAGAGAGCAGCGAGTCTGTGAGAGCGGGTGGTGAAAACGGGTTTGTTGTTTTGTGCAACATTGGAACATGAATGAACGCTACATGTGCATGTGGGGGTTCATGCTCGTCGGTCTGTGAATGATTCTCGGTCAAGCATTTGGAGTTCGGCTGTGTGGTGATGATGCGCTACGATGAAGTCACCCCTGACCGAGCGAGGTGGATGAACATGTTCATTGAAGAGCTTCGGGTGAATGATGCGGTGTTTGTCACGTGGTCCGGTGTTGGTGTTCATGTGATGGGATGGGAATGAACGCACTTCTGGAGCATGTCGTGCGACATGTTGATGGGGTTTATGCAACATTGTTCATGTTGCACCTGAACGCGTGGTTGTTTCTTACAAGAATGAATGAATGGTGAATGGTTGCTTTTTGGATAAATTAAAGCCTTTTAAATCGTCGGCGTACAGCGATTGTTTGTCTGAAGCAGATTGTGAATCTTGCGTTGATGAAATTAGAAAACTATCGATTAGAGCAGCAGTATCGAACAATGGCTTATGTTCCTATATCGGACAACTAAATTCGGAATCTAGATTACACCGTGACAAAAGAGTCCTGTCACATCTTTTAAAAGTACGGTATCATTATCCAAAAGTTTGACTGCTTTCATCTGTGTACTAAATTAAAGGGCATTTCCCTATAAATTAAGGGTGTTTGATTCTTACCAAGATACCAAGAATACTAAGATGAAACTGTCGGAAGAAAAACTTTCTATTTTAGTGTCCTCTTTCACGGTCCCTTTCATCCAATGAATACCCCCCGTATTCAAGGTAATTTTGTGGTTTTGCTGCCCCCTCGGTAGAGATGAAATTTTGCGCTCATTTCGATCAAAACAATCACACAATGTCCCATTTTTTAATTACTCGATTAACAACTAATCGATTATTTTTTGTTCGCTGTGCTGCCATTTTCCCACCAATGAGAGTGCAGAACATGTTTGAAACGATCGGTGATTCTCCTCTGGAGATGTTAATGCTTATATCGGCATTGTATAACCGATTACAAATGTTTTACTTTTCGGTTCGATAATCGATACTCGAATGAAAATCGCCACGGTAACTAAAATAAACACGAGTGTTCACCGTTTGATTCTTATGCACTGAATATTGCTGAATCGGGTTCTTTAAGGGTATTGAGGTAAATGCATTTTCGTAATCTGCATTAAAAATGGAACTTAAACCCAAAATTTCAACATTTTTGGTACACTGGAACTATTTTAAATAAGTACGATTATATTTTCAAAAATCACCTTATCAGCGCCCCTCGGTGTCACTTTGTATGGAAGCGAGCTGTCAGTTTGTTAGGTTAGTGTCAAACAGTGAAGTTATTATTTTGCTTTAAATCTTGATTTAAAAATCGAGATGAAAGTGTGTGGGTTCGAAAAAAATATCGCTGTGCTCAGAAAACGAAGCTTTTTCAGAAGATGTATAAAAAACGATACATTTTTCAAAATTAAAGAACCCAATTCTATTTCAAAATTGAACTACTACAAAATTCGCAAATTACAATAGTTAAAATTAGATCGTCAGAAGTCCTAGTCTCGTTAGATCAGAAAAAAACATGGTTTATTTCTTACATACCGACTGTACTGTATTAAAGGGTGTCCCACGTCAAATTGCATCACGAAAAAAAAACGCTATAGAAAATTACCTAGTTGACCGATCTTTTTCAAACTTTCAGACAATAAAATTTAATCCAATAGTAAGCTTTTGGCATATTTATTTCATTCAACTTCTATACCATAGCTGTAAGCTCGCACCTTACGCTTAACTCCACTCATTAGGTTCTGTACAACATCTGGCTACAGCTTCTTCTGTACGGAAACCCACTTTTTCTTCATGTCTTTCTCAGATTTGACCTCCTTGGGATGTTTCCATAGTGCCTGCTTCATTATAGCCCAGAAATTTCTATGGGCCTTAGTTCGGGCTTCGTCAGCATCTGGTTGTACAACCAAGTAACCAGTTGTTTTCCGATGTCCCGATGAGAGAGTTGAGGATTTTCCAGGTCCTTGCACAAAATCAATTCGGAACGTTGCTTTTAGGGTGACGCCATTTTTTGCAACTTTAGAAAAACTGACAGCAATAAAAATACAATGTAAACAATACACTGTAAACTACTTCTACCCAAATTTTCAAGAGAAAATACCCAATGTTTAATTTTGTACAGCGTTTTTCCGTGATGCATTTTAATGTGGGACACCCTTTACAACATGCTAATGAACACAATTCAACAAACTGCATTTATCTACATACTGTAACGTTAAGAGTTTTGAGGATTTGCTGTGTAACTCATTTTCGTTCTATCGAACAGAAAACATTAATTATAGCTATCAAAAACACGTTTGTTCCAATGCCCAGTGGGCAAAAATTGACAAAACCGCGACTAAATTGAATATCTCGGCTGCCAAACGGTTTCAGTTAACATGTTATACATATTCTCAAAGAAAAAAACTCTGCTGAATCGATTGATAGTGGTCTTATTGGCCGGACAATTTTGCGTACCGAGATAGAGGCCGGGATCAACCTGAGTTCCCGGTAAAGTAGGAAATGCTACTATCTATCGACATAATTTTACACTTTACTTATCGTATATTACTGAAAATTGATAGTACTAAGTATATATGGTGTAAAGGCACCATATACGCCCTCAGGAAAACTCTACTGGCGTAAAGGAGGATCCGGAACGACCGATAAAGTGGCCACATTATAAAAAATGTCCTAGAACCTTGTGATTTTTTCTATGTTGTTCAGAATCAAGATATCAAAGCGTATTTAATATTGAAACTATATTTTGGGGTATAGTGGCCATATTTTGATTCTCCGGATAATCTGGATTGACCGATAAAGTGGCCACATTATAAAAATTGTCCTAGAACCTAGCGGTTTATTCTATATTGTTCAGAATTAAGAGATCAAAGCGTATTTAACTTGGAATACATATTTTAGAATATAGTGGCCATGTCCTGGTTCTCCGGATAATCTGGATTGACCGATAAAGAACATTTTTTATAATGTGGCTACTTTATCGGTCAATCCAGAGTATCCGGAGAACCAGGATATGGCCAGTTTATCCCAAAATTTCAATTATTTATTAAATTCGCTTTGATCTCATGATTCGAACAAATATGGGAAAAAATCGCAAGGTTCTGGGAAATTTTTTATAATGTGGCCACTTTATCGGTCAATCCAAATTATCCAGAGAACCAGGATATGGCCACTTTACACCAAAGTTTTCCATATTAAATATCTACGCTTTGATCTCTTGATTCTGAACAACATAGAAAAAATCGCATGGTTCTAGGGCATTTCTTATAATGTGGCCACTTTATCGGTCGTTCCGGATCTTCTTTTAGACCCGTAGAGTTTTCCTGAAGGCGTATATGGTGTTTTTACACCATATATACTTAGTACTATCAATTTTCAGTAATATACGATAAGTTAGGTGTAAATTTATGTCGATAGATAGTGGCATTTCTTACTTTACCGGGAACTTGGGTTGATCCCGGCCCACTATCTCGGTACGCAAAAGTCTCCGGCCAATGAAATTACCACCAATCGATTCAGCAGAGTTTTTTCTTTGAGAATGTGTATAACATGTTGACTGAAACCGTTTGGCAACTGAGATATTCAATTTAGTCGCGGTTATGTCAATTTTTGCCCACTGTGCAATGCGTTACTTCATTACAGCATGTTGACGGCAAATAAAAAAAATCAGGCTCAACCTTCTCCGATTTGCATGAAACTTTGCATAACAATAACAAAGGTCAATCATTCACATTTGCAGCTTGTTCAACAATAATTTCCATAAAAAAAAACTGAGCGGTAATGTCCATGAATGATTTCTTTTGGTTGTCATCAACTTTTTTGGATCTGACTATGTATAAAAAGCGTTATATATATATTTCAACTCATCTAAATTAATACATGGGTATTTTGATTAACAAAGTAGTACCAAAATGAATGAGTCCAAAAGTTTGAAGTTCGAGATATTTTGAAATTTTCGTAAATTGTGATTTTTTAGAGAACTGAGAACTTAAAAAAGCCTCTGTCCGGAATCATCAAAATTTTCGCAACTATTAAATTCCCTAAATTATAAACATCCTAATATTGGGGATTGTTCAAAGTCTAGAATAATGACAAAAATAAACTGATTTTAGCTCGAAATTCAAGCTCTAAAAACTAAGTTTAGCATCAGCAAAATTATCTTAAGCTCATTAACAATTACCTTAATGCCAGTATATGAAACATTTGATCAAGTGCGGGATGTTAATAAAGTTTAGCAACTTAAGAATCTTATGGATACTTTTCTTAGCCAGGTATCACAAATTCGTCAAAGTTCCAAAATATTGAACATTTGTATTAGATTTTATGCTTGCATGTTCAGAATAAAAAAAAAACAAAATCATATTTATAACCCTTTTATATTAGTCTGAATAGGTTCGCTAATAAATTGTAAATTAAATACTTATGGCACTTATGAAAAAAACTCTAACAGAATCTAAGAATTTTATTTTAATAAAGTCCCAATATCACTTTAAATAATAAGGAACATCAGGCACAGAAGATACTATAAGATCTGAGGCTACTGAAATACTCTGAATGAAGTTTCTTGAGCTTCTCTTAATTTTGCTCTCTGTAGTAGAATCATCTTATATGAAATTCAGGAAAATTCTCCAAACAGAGGAA